GAAGCATTAGGTCTGAACTTCATCTTAAATACTGCAAAGCATATATTTAATAGATTATGTGTTTATACATATATGTGTGACTCCATGTTTCTGCTGTTGAGAAGTGTACATAACATTATTTTTTGTATTTATGAAGATGGACCTACCCATTCATAAAGGTGTAACAAAATGAAAATGCTTATAATTCCATTAGGTACTACTTTCTAAGAATCTGACAATCTTCATGACATCATTACCATCGACCCACTAATTGAAGTATTTTATTTACTATTTCTAAAATATTACTTTCCTTTGCAAGTATTTGTACTATTTTCTCCTCCTTCCAGAATATATAGATCTGCTTGAAACAAGGAGATATGGAACCAACCATTTCTGGTAGTCAGCTAAAATGACATGAATGCACCTTCCCGCAGTAACTTCATATACAGTTACTGTACAGAGTACACAGTCCTTAAGCTGCAGAACATAATGAATCCTTTATTTTCTGGAATAGAGGGGCTAGGCAGACCATCACAAAGGATGATTTGGCTAGGTATCAGAATACCTCATCTTCTGGATATGGGCACACAGGACTGGTTCTGCCTCGCCTAGCCAATACATAATAGTCATTTTTGAAGATGGTGTTAAAGGGAAAAGTAGCTAGAATAATGACGTTTAAAAAGTTTAACAACCGTCACCACACACCTGAAAACACAGAAGGCTTATAAGCCGAAAGGATGTAAAGTCCCATGCTCCTAATTTTCTGTCAACTTCTAATTTCCTATGTGGCAATAAACCTACACAGCAGCGAGTGCAAAACGTGTTTCTGCACCTGTCCTCTGCATCTGTTATTGACTGGTGTTGCAGACAGGGTAAAGGACCATTTTTTAACCATGATGGCAATCGCTACAGCAGTCCGCTATTTACTTTATATTCATTTTTGTACATGCTGGAAAAGACAGAGTAACTTGAAGTCTCTCCAAGTCTACTGCACTCACAAAGAAAAAGAAAAGCTCTGAAGTGGTAATCCTTACCTTTGCATTGTAAACCTTGTCTCAAAAGACCCCAGAGCAATGAACCACAGTGGTCACAGAAGGTGGGCACTTTGTAATTGTGAATGCTGAACTTGTGAGGCATGTTGACACTGAAACGCTGGGATCCCACTTGCTGAAAAAGGAAAGCAGAGCATATTTCATTCTAATTAATTTCTTTATAATCAGTGTACGCCGAGGCCCTGTTATGTTTTGAAACCGCACAGAATTCAAACAAGATGAAATAGGTCTGTGCTCAGATGATGATCTTTGCATTAGATATACTCCAGCTCCAGAGTTCTTCTCACTACTTTATTTGGAGAAAAGAGGGGGAAGGGCTGCTGTTGTCTAAAAGATAAAGACTAAAGTCTACTTCCTAGTACTTCTGGGAACAACAAATACATAGCTATCAGGAAAGATCTCTTAATGTGGAAGGCAAGGAAGTCACTCCCGATTGTTTTAGGAGGCCGAACTAATACAGGACTAAGAAACAGAAATATATCACAACCCCTTTACCTTTTCAGATCCCACTCGTCCTTAGATTATGAAAATGACAAAGATAATTTGTTGTGTTCAGGGATTCCAAGGTACGATTACTTACTAATTAAAGAATGTCATTGATAAGTTTTTACAGTGGCCGCCGCATAGCAGGAGATTTATTTTGATGTTTTTCCTTCCCTTTCCTATTACCACTGGCTTCTCTCCAGTGATCTAGTACCCCTTCTAAACAATGAGAGCATTGTATCAGCAAAGCATACAAGTCTCCACCAGTCTGGAGCCTGGGAATATAAAACTAGGCAAGATTTTGTATCTTCCTGTGAGTACTATGCAAAAACAACACTAGCCAAACACAGTCCTTCATCACAATCCTATGCAAGTGACCAAGCTTCGGACATAAAATACTGGTTGTGAACCAGATATTAAAGAATGCTTCCAGTATGAAAAATGGTAGTGAATTGCACAGGAAGAATGAGATCAGTCAGTGTCTCAGTCAAATTCATATCAAAGTTGAAAGAGTGGCTTAAAACCATTGGTACAGACAAGTCTGATTTGTAATTTAAAACTAGGCTTTTTCAAGCATATAAATTTAGGTTTTTAACAAATAAAACTAAGAAATGTACTTTTTCTGCGTGGCCAAGGAACTGGGATCACCCACAGACTACCTCACTTAATCCTATGGTGAAAGACAGCAGGCCCTTGCTGTTGCACAAAACAGAACAGGGCAGTGAGCATTCATTAGCTTTTCTGTTAGAACACAAACAAACAAAAAACTTCCGTATAAGATAAAGCATTCACTGCTTACAGCTGAGGGCTACAACTGTTTAAAAAACCATAAACCCACTCCCGTCCCCAACTGTCCCCTATCAACCCAGCCATAAAAGGATACCCCAAAGCTGAGGAGTCTAAGGGAGCTGAACACGACAGCAGCTCCCTGGTATATGACTGTCCACGGGAATTAACATTAATTTCCTAACCAACCCTAAAAGGGCCATCTTAGCTGAGAGAGACCTTTAACCCAAGTGACAGGATTGCTTTGTTTTCTCTTCTGACCCAGAGCTGAACGTGCCATTGGCAGATATATCTACCTCCCTGACAGTATGGTTCTGAAGGCAACTAATTTCATTTTCAGGTGATGTCTTAATTTATTTAAATGCATGATAACATGAAGCACATATTGTGTTAATTCCATTAATATACAAAAGCTTGCTAGAGGTAGGGAGTAATTATGCTGGAAAACCTGTTAGCTATGCATTACCTTATCACTACCATGTTATACAATATCCATGGGCCTTCTTCAACACACGGAAGGCTTTTGTTCTACATTTTGACAGTTTGGATGCAGTCTTTGTTGAGGTTAAACTTTGCAAGCAAATTCTGGGCAGTCTTTTATGTTGAGGCAATACCCAAGCATACTGCCTATCCTATCAGCTGCTAATGACTCAGCCACACAAAATGCAGTTAAGGAATAAAGGGTCCCATCCTGCTCCTTTTGAATTAAAATGACAAAACTCGTATTAATTCAGAAATGGAGAATGTTAAAAATGAAAAGGAGTGGAAAGAGCTCACTGAGACTTAAAGCATTCAGATGTTATAAAAAGTTTACTAATTAGAAATAAGTTGCTGTGCAATAATTCCCATGTAGATGAAACTGTTATGATAATCTGTCATTCCAAAGTAAATGCTACATCACAAGACAACCAGAAGGGCACAAAAAAGTCTGTAACATTTATTGATTAAACAGAGGAGATGACACTACTTTGAACAGATGAAAGACAGAGTTTTATCTAGAAAATTTATTTTATAAACATTTACCTCATCGTGAGTTTCCTGTTTTTTTAAGCCAGCACACTTCGTTATTATAAGTTCATGGCATCTCTTGTGGACTACACAAGTGCAAACTATAAACAAAAAACAGATAAAAGAATGAGTTTTCATGAAGACTGATTTTAAAGCAAAAGACTGATCTCAGAAGACTAGAAATGTTGGAATTTGAAAGGCTGCAAGTGACTGGTGACTTGGTGAGTCCTATGAAGTAAGTCTGGCTTACAAAGGCAGAATATAATGGACTTTCAAGAGATCAATGAATTTTAAGAGAAGTAAAGCATATCTGTCAAAATCTCAGTATGTAAAACCACAAATTACCTTCTGAAATATTAACCACAATTTTTCTCAATTTTTACCTATTTGATTTCTTTATCTAATAAAGTCCATGATCTCCACATTATATGAGACACAATGGCAAAAACAATTCCTGTCTGAAGAGTTTCCAGAGGAAAAGAGACACAAAGATAACTCGTAAAAGTCAAAGACAGATAAACCAAAGTCGAACATTCTTTCTGTAACACATTATCGTAAGTTGATAACAGTAAGAGGTTTCAGGAGGCAAAAATGCTTTGTCAATATTCACACTGATTACTTAATCAATGAATGACATTTGCAGATATGACAGATAAGATTAAAAATTGCAAGGTCTATCGTACTGTGGGATTCAAGGTCATTAAGCAAAGAAAAAAACCTTCAGAGTGAAATAATGAATTTCATTTTCTTCTATGTTTGGTCATTGTTGTAAGAAAAAAAAAATCAGAACTCAAGGAACCTCTGCTGTATGTTAATAGAGTAATTCTCATTATAGCATGTAAAACCATTATTTGCATTTATTTATTTACAATGAGATTTCATCAAGTCTTTTCTAACTGAAAAATCATCACTAACTTGATTATTTTACTTGTCAGATGAGAATTAAGTAGAAAAACATCATCCCAAGAGGTGACTGCATAAAAAATAAAAAGTACAAGAAATTGAGTTGAAAAATGGGAGCTGAAAATGAAGCACTCCTGCAGTCTTTGCTACAATCTTCTCTAATGATGACCTTCATAATTCTCTCATCTATTTAATTACAGTCTTTGCAATTACCTGGCATTTTTAAACAAAAAATCTTAAGCAGAATAAAGAATTCCCGATTTTAAAATGCAAGAAGTGAAAAAAGAAGAAGCCAACATCCTATGTCCCCCTAGTTGGATGTGCATCAAGAGAGATCTAGTATCTGCTGTTCAGCGATGCTAACTGTGCCCCTACCTCATATATGCTGTGTAAGACCAACAGTTTTGAAAAAATCTTACTGTGACTTACTGCAAAGAATGTATCTTTCTTTGGTGAGACAAACTCATTCTGATCATCTTGTGCTAAATTCTTAACACTGTACATATACAATGCTTGATGAAAATATCTTATTATATATTATAACATAATATATATATTCAAACTGTCCCCCTGTAGATTTTCTCTTACCTTGACATTGGTATCCCTGTTTTCCTATTACACCCCTGAAAATAAAACAGTGTTTTAGAAAATGAAGAATATGTATTTTTAAAAACAAAAAACATTTTTTCCTCTCCTTACTGGACATACACACGTTTAAAAGAATAGCTTCTTATAACTAGTCATCTTATAACCGCATGCCTAGACTGAGATCAGTTCAAAGTAGGAACCACATTTCAGCTGCTAAGAGGTAACAGGTAGGAAGATAGGCCACGGAGGAATTCAGAAGTAAAGACACATTTCCTATAATAAAATAGGCAAAGCCAAAGGGTACATAGAGAGGGAAGCCACAAGCCGGTAAAACAGTCATCAGGCAGGCCCCTAAATAGACAGAAAATTGCATTTGCCAATATTGTTGCTTGAAATCATCTTAGCTAACCTAAAGCCTAACCTGCAGACATTTCTTAGAGGAATGTAGTTGAGTTCATGTACAATTCACATCGTTTCACATTACGAAAGACAGAGTCATTATACACTCTTAAGAAATATTAATTATGGATCAAATCAGATCTTATGTGTATTAAGGTGCAAATCAGTATCTCTAGGTAACTTTGGAAAACATCAATAAAGTCGCTGAAAAATAACTGAAAACGGAATGTCTTTTCCCTATCTGAAAATTGTGAGTACTCAAAACTAATGTAAATAATTTCTAAAAGGGAGCTCTTGACATACACTGTAATAAGAAAGACCCTGTACACTAAGCACCCAAACCCCTGGATCATTAGAAGTCTAATATTCCCATATTTCATTAACTTGCAGGATGTATATGAGCTTGGCATTTCCTAGGAGGAAGATGGTGACACTTAAGCACCTAAAGAAGAATTCAGTCATCTTGGCAAAACGTAAAGGTCTAATATTAAGTCTAAATCTACACTTAGGCACCTACAGAACACAAGACTGGCTGTCTACCTAGAATTTATAGTGTGGACTACACAGGAAAAGATTGAACTTTGTGGCTCAGAGGAGAAAAAACACAAATACAACAAATTCTAACATTTGTGATGGAAGTTTAAGAGTCTTCTATTACTGTCTGCAAAACTGATGACAGCTTAATATTAAAATGAGGAGGAAAAGAACTACTACTCTACGCCATTTATACTTCAGCAAAACAGGAAGGTATGTTAACTCTTCAATACAAAGTTGCAAAGAAAGCAAAGCCATACCATATAAAATCTCTGCAGTGCGAACAATATGTTGGTTGTCTAAGATAGGTGGCCATAAACTTGTGTCCATTAACCTGATGTACTCTGCGTCGCACAGCACCCTGGCGCTTTCTGGGGCGCATACGTTCCCGGAACACACGTTCTTCATTGTCTTTGGGTGCTGAAACAGAGGAAAAAACAATAAGCACTGGCTGTATCAGACACAAACATGGGAAAACTCAAATGCAATACATAAGTGGATATTTTACAAAAATAAAAATAATCCTCTCTAGCTAGCAGTGCAAGATAACTTCCCTAAGCTGTGGGTAATTTTTTTCTTTTTTAGTATCAGTTACTAAAGGGCAAGAGTTTTCATTGCCTGGAACAGGAGCTTCTATTTGTTCTAAACCTTTATCTGTAAATTCATGCTAAGCCGGGAATAAGTCTTCTGCGCTTTATCACTATCAAGCACACTGACAACCTCTTTAACAGTAATTACACAGTTAGATTCTCCAAACAGGTCAGACTCTCATCTCATTTGATCT